GATACATTAGGCAACCAACCAAACTTCTATATATTTTCTCATCAATTTTCTTGCTTCCATCATCCTTCACCAACTTTAAGTTTTGAACAAGATGAGTACTTATTGGTTTGCAATTTTCCACGCTGAATTTCTTGAAGATCTCCTTGGCATACCTCGTTTGACAGACGAAGAAACCTTCTTTTGATTGATTTATTTCCATTCCAAGAAAATACTTCATTTCCCCTAAATCTGTCATTTCAAAATGCCATCATCATTTCATCTTTCAATTTGTCAATTAAGGTTTGATTGCTACCGATTACTAGCAAATCATCAACATATAATGAAATGATGATAACATCTTCATCCACTTACTTTATATAAAGTGTTTGCTCATTAACACTCTTGATGGCAGTTCAGATATTCATCGATCATGTTGTACCAGGCTCTTAGAGCCTGCTTCAAGCCATAAAATGCCTCTTCAATAGATATACCTTGTTTTCTTCTCCAGCTACCAGAAAACCATCTGATTGATCAACATAAATTTCCTCATTTAAGTAACCATTCAAGAAGGCTGACTTGACATCCAATTGATGAATTTTCCAGCTTCTTTGAACAACAATGTCTAGCAACAATCTAATGGTTTCATACCTAGCAACATGAGCAAATGTGTTAGTGTAGTCAATGCCATATTGCTGAGTGTATCTCTTCACAACCAAGCTGGCTTTCAACTTGTTGATTGATCCATCTGAGTTTAGTTTGGTCTTATACACTCGTTTAACTCTAATTACATTTTTATCTCTTGGTCTATCAACCAATTCCTAGGTTCCATTCTTTTCTATCATACTCTGTTCCTCCTTCATTGCAGCCATCCAACCATGTGAATTCACTGCCTCATTGAAGTTTGAAGGCTCCAACACTACTAAATTACATATGGAATAAACATTAGCAAGAGACCTGGTTCTTAGCACTTTATTTTCAGAATCAGAATTCTTGTTTTGTTCTGGTTCATCTTCATTGTAGATATCATCATTTTCTTGAGCTAACATCATTGGAATTTGCAATTTATCCAAGGTATTTGCTTTCCAATTCCATGAAGAATCTTCATCAACCTTAATATCTTTGCTGGACAAGATTTTCTTGGTTTGAGGATTATAAACTCTGTATCATTTGGCATTATCACAATAGCCAATCAGAACTCCAAGTTCTGCCTTTGGACTCAGTTTATCTCTTTTGGCATCAGGTGTATGAGTATAACATATACTCTCAAACACTTTCAAATGTGAGACATATGGCTTAACTCCATACCATGATTCAAAAGGAGTTAACTTGTTTAAAGCCTTTGTAGGCAATCTGTTGAAGAGATAGGTTGTTGTATTCACAGTTTCAGCCCAAAAATCCTTTAGACACTCCATTTTGCTGAGGCGTGTAAGGAATTGTCAATTGATGTTTGATTCCAACAGCATCACAGAACTTGTTAAACTGATCACACTTATATTTGATTACATTGTCTATCCTGATGGCCTTAATTCTGCATTTGCTTTCATTTTCTACTAGATTTTTGAATTTTTGAAACACACCAGCAACCTCTGACTTCATTTTCAAGAAATACACCAAACACAACCTTATTAAATCATCAATGAAGAGTACAAAATACAGTGTCTGAGTTCTTATTGGGCCACATACCTCAAAGTGGATTAACTCTAGTTTTTTTTTGTGGCTCTTCTTGACTAGTTTTTAGGAAATGGCAGTCTGGTTTGTTTTCCCCGTTAACACACATCACACACAAGAGCTTCATCACTTATGTCGGGTATATTTTCAACAAGCTCTAATTTGTGCAAATGCTTGAGTGATGTGTAATTTGCATGACCAAACTGTTTGTGCCAAAGTGAAGACTCTACTTGGTAATAGTGAATGCATGATAGGTCATATTTTTCCATTCTAAGGGAAAACTTCTTTGCCTCATTCAACTGACATTAACTCATTTCCATTTGGATCAAATACAGTGAAACTACTATCTTTAAATATTGAAGTACAATTCTTCTCGATCAATTGACCCACACTTACTAAATTTTTGATCAATATCTGGCACATAAAGTACATCAGGAATATGTTTGATACATGTTGGAGTTTGCACAGCAATCATGCCAATTCCTTCTACTTTCACATAATCACCATTGCCAACATTCACCTTGGATTTGTATGTGTTGTTTAGTTCAGCAAAGATGCTGGAATCTGAAGCCATATGATGAATTCAACCACTATCTAGTAGCCAAGTTCCACTTCCACTACTCATTTTGTGATTTGCTACTGTAAATAGATGTTCCTCCTACTGAACTAGTTGCTGATTTTCAGCAACTTGTGCCTGCTACTGCAATGCCTTCTCCTTCCAATTTTTACACACCTTTTGAATATGTACAAATTCTTTACATGCTCTGACCCCTAGTCTATACCAACACCATTTTGGAGAATGACCAGTTTTCTTACAATGAGGGTAGGGAAGATAATCATCATTCTTGCTGGCATTCTTACTGATCTCAACCATCTTTCCAAGTAGTTACTTCTTCACACCATAACTTGTTTGAGCTTCATAATTTCCTTTGACAAATAGGGCTCCTTCAACTTGTTCTTCCTGCCTCATTTGTCTCCTTTGCTCATTAGCATAAAGGCCATTCACTAGTTCAGACAAAGTTATGGTTGACAGATCCATTAAGTCTTCAAGTGATGATATTTTGGCTTCAAACTTCTCAGGTAAGCTGATCAGATCCTTCTCCACCACTCTTTTGTTTGGTAAGTCATCTCCCAACAACCTAATCTGATTTACAACCTTCAACAACCTGTCTGCAAAGTCTTTTACCACCTCTATTTCCTTTAGTTTCAAGGTCTCAAACTCTCTTTTCAAGTTGAGTACTTGCATCTGTCTAGTTCTCTCGTTTCCTTGGAATTCCTCTTTGAGTCTATCCCAGGCTTCTTTTACAGTTTCACAAGTCATTATCCTTGTGAAAACAGCATTTGAAATAGCAGACTGAATGCAGGAGAGAGCCTTGAACTTCTTGGCAACATTTTCATTGTGTTGTTTGATTTGAGCAACTATAGGGTTAGCTCTCAATGGTGGAGGTTCAATGCCCGTCTCGGTTATCTCCCAAAAGTCATAAGCCTTGAGATAGGCCTTCATCTTTATAGCCCAAAAGTTGTAATTTTCTCCATTGAAGATTGAAGGTAGAGGTGCTGAAAAACTAGTTGATGCCATCCTATTTTCTGTCAACTATGTTTTCTTCTGCTGATGGTTTCCCCTTTTTCACTGCAATTCTTCTTCCCCTTTCTTTTACGGTCCCTTTCTAAGAACTAGAAGGGCTTTGATATCACTGATAGAGTTTTGAAGCTAAGAGGAGGAGTGAAAAACGATCAGAACATGATACCTTCATTACCGGCTGCAATCAACGCACATTACAAAAGTTTCTACAATACTTCTAGTGAACAACTTCCTACCAAATACCACCTTACTTGTTGACAGGACAAGCCATGCTTTAGTAGATATTTAAATCACCAAAAATAGACATTACATGGACAGATTTAATAATATGATTGTTGCAAAAATGACTGTAAAAGTGTAACTAAATATCAATAGTTGAAGACTATATTTAGAAGACATAGAAGTGACCCTCTCTAACAGGTTAAAATTTAAGATCAAGTTGTTATACAAAATGCATATTGAAAATTTGAAGTTGTTACCGATCTGATTCGTGGGAGTATTTACCCTGTCAAATTCTATTACAAGAAAGCAGACTTTCCACTTTCTTGACACTTTTCCTTCATGATCTTACACAAATTCCGCGGTTTTAAAATTTTCTGCCATCTGCTATTTTGTGCGATTTCAAATATGTTATTGTTGAGCATAGGTTTTCATGAACAGCTTAAAGTTCTAACGCTCTCATTTCCAGCCTGTAGCAGGAATTATTGAATTTCGAGTGGGAGAATTGAGAGGGCTTTCAAAATGGCGAGCACGATATCTAGGTATTGGTTTGGATGAGAAATTAATTGATAGTGCAACAGAGAAGGCTGGAATGTTGCTCATACAGGTTGAACAATTTATGAGAATCCCATCTTCTGTGGTGCAACAGGTGTGTGTGAGCCATGAGGTAGTATGATACAATGCTCATTTGTTCTGCTCTTTCTCCTATATGAGTACTTGGTTGCGTATTTATGTTATCAGCACCACTTTTCTCCTGAGTTCTGATACGTACATTATAAATTATATGATAGTGCCAAATACAGACAATTTTGAATTCTGAGATTTTTACATATAGTACAGATCATACACCTTGGTATTGAAAAACCAAGACCGCCTGAATTACAATTTTTTTACACTAAAAGTAAGAGATGAAAGTGGTAGGCCTTGGTATTCATGGATTAGTTTTCAAGCAAAATCTAGTTGTATGAATTAAGAAATTATGTTCTTTGCACCTTTTGAAACATAAGGACTCCTTTTCATCATTAATACTTCTTACGCTAGTCTGCTCTAATACTTGTCTTGTGTTCAGTTTTTGAATTTTTTCAGTTGGCTCCTAAAATCTGTGAAGATGCTAATGTCAGAACCAAGTGATCAACTTCTGCCTTTCAATAGGTTCTGCTATTTTTTGTTCATCTGTCCCCATGATTTGCCTATTTCCTCAAACTTGCATAGTTTTCCCTAAATGGCATTGAACTTGTTGTCATATTCTTGTAGTTTTTATATGATCAAGATCCTGTAGGTTAGCTTCTGGATTCCACCGAGTTTGATCATAATATTGAAGTTGAATTGTAAGTATCATTTTCCAGCTTCCTTCTATAATTCTGAGTATACTTCCATGTAGTGTCTAATAAACTAACACTTCCAAAGAGCTGGCAGCAGAAGACATGCCTTTAAAAGTCTCATTTATCACGATGCTGATGAAAAAGTTCCCACTTATGACTTCCCACATCTAACCTTTTTCGTGCTTATTTTTATTAATGATGATCCGCAATTCAACAATGAACTGGATGATATGAGATCAGAGCTTTCAACAACTAAAGCTACTGCGGATGAAAGTGCACAGTCTGCTCAATCTGCAGAATTACAGTGTTTGGCGCTTCTAAAAGAATTAGAAGAGAAGAATTTCTCTTTAAAGGAGCATGAGGTTCGTGTGAATAAACTGGGAGAAAAAATAGATGTTCTTCAGAAGAATCTTCAATCCAGGGATCATTCCCAAATGCAACTGAAAGATGAAGTCATGAGAATAGAGCAGGAGATCAACCAAACATTAGCTAAGGCCGGAGCGAATAAAGATTGTGAGCTTAGGAAAATATGAATTGCATGATTAACCATCTAAAAAATAATTAATAGTGACTTGTTGCTATTTAATTGTAAAGTAATTTTAATTCCGCTTAATCAACTATTCACCAGCCGCGCTTATTAGGATCGAATTACGTATTTTCATATAGCCATCCTTTGGTCCATCAAAATCAATTCGATAAATCTATATATATATATATATATATATGTGCAACTTGCGGGAATTCTTTCTTCGATACCAAATAGAACCATAAATGTGTAACTTGTGTATTTTTTAAGATTCTGTCGTGTACTTGCAATTGGAGAATGAAACTTGCACTCAGGGGCGGATCCAGGCCTGGGCTGGCCCGGGCTACAGCCCGTCCTCGCCCAAGCCCAGATCCAATACTCCTTGTATTTTTTTTTTTGGTTTAGCCCACTAAGGCAGCCGACCCAGCCC